GCCTTCCTAGGTAGGGAGTGAGAGCCCCTATCACTGCCATTCCAGGTGGAGGCATGGGGCAGAGTTGGAATAGGCCCCAGGACATGGTGTACTTAGGGCCCCAGATTGCCTTTATCCAGCTTTGTGCACCACCCCGGTCTTTCCTGTACTTTCTTAGTGAAGGGAACAGCTTCTGTTTCCAGCATGATCAACACAGCACCTTTCATGACCATTATAGTCACTCAATATTATAAACTATCTTAGCTCCTTTGCAAAAATATGTCACAGTACTATAGGTACTTACTAAATTAGTAAGAGTATTGGTGAAATAAGGCTATCAAACAAATATAAATGTTCCTATGCAATTTGACATATTGTCCACTTTCTTAAGCTTCTCAGTACTTTAAGGAGGACTTGTGTAGCTCTTAGCCAATCATCCTGGCAGCCACAGAAACTAATAAGGATGCCTGCCTTAAGACATGATCTGTGCCATGCCCAATGAATTGTCTAAGAGGGAGATGATAAAATGAGAGGCACAGCCAAATTTTCAATTAAAATACAGGAGAGCAACACACATCCATTTCTGTAGAGGCAATACATTATGACTCTTCACTCAACAAGACATATTTAACCAAAATATCTTTCTATAGTTCACTCAGCGTGCAGAAGAATCATGTCTGACAGTGGACAGGCAGGATATATAGATTTCATTAGAGATCTAGACATGTTGCTTTATTAGTTGCACAATACCTTAACAGCTCAAATTGACAAATTAGGGTAGTGGAGTCATTTCTTATTAAATAATTTTCTTGTACTTATACTCACAACATCCAGACACCTTAATTTCCTGACCCAATATTATTCATAATATAAACAAAAAAGCACTTACACACAAAGAAGCCCTTGAACAGATCTTTTTCTTGTGATCTAAGCTATGAACAGTAGAAACTGATCAGAATCAGCAAGGTGATTAAAAACAGTGACAAACAACTAATACAGAAAGGACAGCGCTGAGATACCCCAAGGGTCAGGGGGTAGTTCATATTCCCTGGCACATAGTGTGTCAGGCCACAGCTGAGATTTTCAAAGCCAGCAAAAGGATTTCAGAACACAGCTCCCACTGAAGTTAATGGGAATCGTGTGGCTAAATCCATGACTTGACGTTGAAAAGTCTCAGTCCAAATCTGTTAAAATGCAGGTACATTACTTTACACAAGCCTATGCTGAAAACTCACATTGCTAAGTGATTAAGACTGTGACACCATTTCTTAGCTACATTTCTTTACCTTGTGAATAAAGCATGTGATATCATTTCATTAGTACCTGTTGAAAAAATGGTTAAAAGCGACAGGACCAACGCTCAGCAAAACTAAACTGGCCATCTTCTATCGTCAGTAACTCCTGTGAATCCTGCACCGCACTTCAATTATGTTACACAAATGTAACAGTGCACAGCATTTGCTCTAGGAATTCTGAGAGTATCATCCCCTGAAAAATTAAACTTATGTCTGAACTATTCTACCTACTATTGCTACACATAATACTGAAGATTACAATAACTGAGGGATGAGAGAAAGGTATTCTATTTTTCCAGTTTATTTACTTTGTGCATTTGACATCCCTTGTCTCTAGTCAGATCCTTGCACCCATATGGAGCCCCAGTGACTTCAATGGAGCTCTGTAAGGATGCAAGAGTCTGTCTGTGCAGATCATCTTGCAGTAGCAGGGCCTTGGTCTGTTTCCTCTGTTGTCTGCATGTGTTGCTCTCAGAGGAGAGGAGGGGACTCTATTTTTTTTAAAAGGAACATGTGACTGTAAAATGACACAAAATGACAGGAGGACTCAGGCAGATACAGTTTCTGAAGTTACTTTTAACTCATTTTAAAAAAAACTGGCTAGATTTCAAGCTGACAACATCCCCTTGAGCTATGCCTCAAAGCTTACAGCAAACCAAATATAACTGAAGTTATACAGTATGAGAAGTTAGAGACCACAATCACAGTTATCTCTAACAACATGCCTCTCAGTTACCAGGCATCACAATTAATAGATATTCATGCTTTTTGTGCTGGTTAGAGCTTTACACAACACCAGAGATAGATAATTTTAGGGATAAACAATTGATCCAAGTTTTAATACTGCAAGGTATAAAATCATAAGGTTCTGTACTACAGACAACCAGAAGTATCCCAACACTCTGTAAGGGCCCAATCCAATTATGCTCCCATCAATACAAACTCCCAGTGACTTGACTGGCGCAGGATTGGGCCATATGTGAACAGAGAATCTATCATTTCAACATGAGTTCTAGAAAAATTAAATAATTCGTGAACACTAGAGGCCTAATCCTGCACTGTGCCTAGTCATTTACAGTTGCGAAAATTGGCTGTAAAATGCTACCACCAGTGGGAGTGGAAAAGTCTGATTTGGTAGCATTTTAAACCCCCTGTTTTACAAGTATAAATGACTATGCAATATAGTTGAGAAATAGGCCTTTGAGCCAAATAAATGACTTAACTGAACTTAGTGGAGGAAACAGTTTCCACTTAGGAAAAGTAGAATGACCCTGTAATCCTACATCAACCAAGGCCAAAAAGACATGTTCAGCAAGACTCCTTAAGACTCATTGTTTAACAATTTGGTATGATACGCTAGAATGGTACTGTGAAAAAAAAAAAAACAGAACTATTTATTTTAAATTAATCTGATTCTGAAAATCTAGCAAACAAAGTGTGCTATTCTCTGCTAGCTAAATTTTGCGTGTACACTATATATCTATGGGAATAACCTTATATAAAGATATTATGCTCCAGTAGTCTGAAATTTTAATACCATTTTAATACTCTCCAATAAGTTCAGTCCTTTTAAGTTTCATAACACAGAATTGCCTATATTTTTGTACATTTAACATCACTTTGTGTATAGTTAGTTAGGACCAAATCCTGGAGCAGTCCTATTAACTACTCACATGTATAAATGGTTGCAGGACCTAGTTATTATTCAGTTTCATACTTATTTTTGAGTGGTTTTCACATACAACAACAAGGAGAGAATTTTTGTTTAAAGAAAATAAGAAAATACTGTTGTCAACCCATAACAAATGGTATGGGGATTCAGTGGCAAGGCCTTAGGTTTCAGATTTATATACAGCAAACAACCTAATATGCATGAAGCAGAATTGGACAGAAGGACTCAAATTCTGTTCTGATATGTCATTGTAAATCCAGAATAACTCCATTGACACTGACTGAATACGTCAAATATGCACTGGTGTAAATGAGTGCAAAATTTACTCCACTATGTTCTGGGTTATTTTGGAGGTGGTGTTCTAAGGCAGATGCAACATAAGTGTGGTCTCACACATATTCCACTGTACACAGCATTCAAAAAAAAAGTCTGTATTAAACTGTAAGAGGAAAGATAAATACATAGGGGCTGATTCTGCACTGCCTTGCACCGAGTGTCATCATTTACACCTGTTCAAAGGGAATGTAAAATGCTACCAAATCAGAATGGTAGCATTTTGCATTCACTTGGCACAAGTAAAACTGATTACAGAAGGTACAAGGCAATACAGTATTACACCCTATGTATTTACAAACAGTGTAAAACTTGTATGTATTTGAAAGAAACAGTTTAGGGAGTATTTGAAAACATTTTTAAAGACTTTAAAAATAAAAAGCTTCTAATCCTTTAAAGATACAACTGTATCTAAATATTAGTGAAGCAGACGATTTTTTTAATTTTACATTGTTGACAGACTGTATCCAGTCAAATCACAAATTCTTAGTTTAAGCTGCTTTTGTTAAAGAACTGTGCTAAAATGTGAACTAAATAAAAATATTTTTAAAGTACATGTGTTCCAAATGTTTTCACAGATTCATGGCAGTATGTGTACTGTAAGTTAAACACTACAAAGAATTGATTCATAACCTTAATTTATATCACAATATGACAAAGGATTATTTTGAACTACAGTTGGTACATCAATTGGGCTCTAAATTTAAACTCACAGAGTTTACACTTTATGGATTTTTTTAAAGGGATCTTTAATTTAGAGCAGCTGAGTGGACTAAAGAGTTCATTATCTTAACTATATTATTAATAAATGTTTCAACCAAAGTAATGGTCAAATTTATGAGCACATAAAACCAGCATCCTTGATTATTAGGGGTTATCCTTCTTTACACTAACTTCTTACAAAGTTAAACAGGGGCACAAAAAGAATAGTCTGTGATCAATCAAGCAGACATTTATTCACAGTTGTTAATCTTGATGTAAAATTGGAGGGCCTGATCCACTGTGTGACTGCTTATGTGAGCAAGAATGTAATGGATTAGCCTTCAACTTGTAACATTAGCATCTGAGGAGAAAGAGTACAGAAAAAAGGCAGAGGCAGCCAGTTTATCCTTGGACAACTATTAAGCCCTGTTGTAATAAAAAGGTCTTACATTCTGTACAAATTGTCTTTTGATGCATAATAGCTTTGTAAAGAATAATCAAAGAAGACCAGAAGGAAAGCAAAAGAAAACATGAGACTGACTCTTAAGGAAATCATAAAGTGGCATTTTCCAGTTGAGGAACTACAAAAGGTGACAGGACTGATTAGGCAACTTTCACATTTAGCAATGCACAGGTATGCAAGAATAGAACAGGGAAGCAGAGATTGTCAGAACTAAAGCAGGTGTTATCTGTTAGCTTATCTATGTAAATTATGCACATAAATTGCATACTTTTGCAGCCGATACATACTTTAACTTTTTTCAAATTAACACACATACAGATACGCACTCAATCCAATCCCAAATAATTAGTATATTCACAAACTGTACATGCCACAAGTTGTCATACCACAGCTGCAAAACAACATTCATGGAATCAATCGATGCTGTGACTTTTAAAACCCACACACACAGGTATGCTCTAAATTCAGCCCCAAGCTCAGGCATACGCAGCCTCACCTTCAGCATTATAAGGGGCAGTAACAATAACACCAGGATTGCACTGGATCTGAAACTTACCCCAGTCACCAGTTCCACAGCTAGGCAGAAAGCAACCAGAACAACAAGCCTGCAGTGGGAGGCAAAGGAAACAACACGTTATCCCCTCGGGGCACCCAAAACACAGAGGGAGCAGAAGCAAAACCAAACAGACCATCCCCAGACCCCACAGGAGAAGGGCTTGGGACTCACCCTGTGTGCATGCTGCTCCCCTGCCAGTACTTCACACGGCTCCGTTGCTCCGGTTCATTGAAAGCTTCGCTGCCCGGTGGTTAAACTACGGTCTGCAGGGAAGAGGAGGGGGGCAAAGAGCGGGCAAGGGGAGAAGAGGCCACAAAAGAGGGAAACAGAGACAGATTATATAGATCCATCTGCATTCAGGGCAGCGCGCGCGCAGGCACGAGGCGGGTGAGAAGCAAGATCATGGTGGAGATAAAAGCGAACTCACCAAAGTTGCTGCCCTCGGAGTGCTCCGCAGCAGGCAGGGGAGAAGAGGAATGGAGGAAGGGGGAGGACCCAGGGCTGTCAATCACAGGAAAACAGACATCCACCCCCCCCCCCACACACACCTAATTGTCCAGTTCTTCCCATGTACTTATCCCAGATCTGTCCCTACCACGACCAGTGCTGAAGGCGACAGATTCTTCTAACACCAGTGATTTAATGTGACTCTAAAGATGCCCTGAGATAGAAGAGCTTTGTAGGTCTGCCACATCGTCCCCCCCCGTAGTGATCGCTCCTAGCAATACAGCTGGGTGTGTAGCAGACAACTGATCTATATTAGATCAGCCGCAAAGGCAGCAAAAGGGCATCCTGGTGGGTTAAAACTACAACTAAACACACCTCATTATCCTTTGTCATTTGTGCGGTAAAACTTCTGGTTTTAGGACATCAACTCAGGCTGGTTACTGATGGGCACTTAAAAGGGAAGTTACCTGGTGTTTTCTGCCTCCCAATCCCTGCTACCTAGCATGCCAACAGCTGCAGACAGAGAGTGACACCGGTTTAATGCTAGCCCGTCTGAGGTAAAACAAGGCGTAACGTGCACCTGGAGTGTCGGAGCATTTCTCTTCTCCTGTCCTCCCGGCCCCAGCGCTCCTCTCCCCGGGATGGGTCTGCATATTGCAAACAGGCGCCTCTCAATATTAAACCCCACACTTTCCTCTGGGGACTCTTCCGCCGCAATAAATAGTCCCCGGCCAAAACAGTGCACTCTCAGTCCGGGGGTGGGGGGCAGGTTGTTTTGTTTTTTTAGACCGGGGAGGAGGGCAACACAGCTGTACACATCTCCGCCGAACAGCTGTCTGCCGGGCCGCGCGGGAAATGAATGCTCTGGGCAATGCCCCCCCCCCCCCCACCCCACCCCACCCCCTCCCGTGCAGGAGAGCTCTGCCCCCAGCCAGGTTGCCCATTAGCCAGACGAGGTTGGAGTGCGGCGGAGGGATACCGCGTGCATGCCTTTTTTGGGGGCAAAGTAGCGCCGGGAGAAGTGGAGTCGGGAGAAGTTTGCCCGGCGGAGTAGAGTGAAAAGGGCCGGCGCGAGCGCGGCTTGCGGGAGGGGGGACTCGCTCCGCAGGCTCAGCCCCGCCTGGCCCCCGGCCGGGCTATGTCAGCGCTGCAGGGCCAGCCCGGGAGCGCGCGGGGCTGCTGAGCCCGCCAGGAGAATGGAGCGGCGGGGCTGCCGCCGCCTGGCCGCCGCCTGCCTGGTGCTGCTGGGGCTCTGGGGGCTGAGCGCAGAGGCTGCGGTAAGTGCTGCCCCCCCACCCCTCCCGGGGCGCCGGGCCGCGGGGTTTGCCTCCGCCCCGCTGGCTGCGCGGCGCCTCGCCCTTAGAACCCGGGGAGCCCAGAGCCGCCGGGACGGGCGCTTCGGGGAGCCTTCGGGTGTTTAAAAACAGGGCGCTGCGCCGGGGAGCCCCTGGCCACGCAGCGCTGGGAGCCGCGGGACCCCCCCGCGCACCCTCCGGGCAAGTGCGTCTGGGCTGCAGCCCCCGGGTGAGCCGGGCGCCCCCGGCCACGGTGACGGGCTGCTTCGCGATCCAGATGCAGGAGCTTCCCCCCCCCCCCTCGCGCCCGCCGAAAGGCAGCGGTGATGGGGCAGGACAGAGAGAGAAACGGGGGGAGAGATGTCCCTGCCCTCGTGTGTCTTCAGGTGGCTCCGTCAGGGGCTCCGCCACGGGGCCAGCTGCGCGGCAAAGGCAGCAGATGTGTTTTTTCTCTCCCCACATCAGGTTCACTGCTCCCCTCGCTCTTTTGCGAGTGGGTGAGTGGCACGGGCAGCCCGGGAGAGGAGCTGGAAGTGACCGGGAGAGAAAGGAGGGCAGCCACGGAGGTCTGGCTGCGGCTGTGCGTTAGCCTCCCTGTTACCCTAGCACAAAGGTGGAAGGAGTTTAGCTCCCCAGAAAACTCGGGGAGAGCTCTGTGATCTCTCCCCACCCATTGCCCTCACCTGCATCCCGAACTCCTACCCGGACCTGGTGGGGACTTTCAGGAGACTCCAGGGCATGATTTTGCTGGGGAGCAACTCCTCAGGTTGTAACTAGTTTTCCTGGGCATACTTCAGTTCTGCATATACTGTATATGCAGAACTGAAGTGTGTGTGTGTGTGTATATGTATGTATATATGTGTGTGTGTGTGATATATATGCAACTCTCCCAAGGAGATGCTCCAGAGCAAAACCATGCCCTGGAGCCTATATATAAATTAGGCTGGGATAGTTGCATGGATGGTAAAGGTGTGCTGCGATCTGGAGCATGTACAGTAGGTGGCTTTGGGAAATACTATATCCCCTTTTGGGAAGGGGAAGGTACTATACATCTGCCCTGGAATGGTTAGGCCTTAAGAATGGGAGAAAAGACACCAGGTTAGTGTAGTTATTTCACCTAAAATAAATAATAGCCTCCTTCAAGAATAAACTCAGCAAAAGTAGTGTAGCCACATACAGACACACATGTAGCCAAATAAGTCTCATTTCTTTGCACCATCATAAATTGTATGATCACAAACTTTTCTCTAAGGTTAAATGCTTAAGCAGTATAATAATTTCTTTCAGTTATAGAGGTGATATGGGGGAAATAGTGTATGCTTTCTGCTGAAGGAGAAGTGCATCCAATTCTATTGCTTAGCTAAACTATCATCTGCTGGCTGAAATCTGAACTCATTTGAACATGAGAAATGCTCAGAACATGATTCTCTCCCCCCCCCCCTTTTCTTAAAAAATCAGTCATCAGAATGGCATAGTTTTAAGTATCTTCCTTTAGGATGAAACTTTTAGACATAGCATTGGCTTTCAAAAAAAGTAAAAACTTAATGTTCCTCCCATCTTCCCCCAGGGCTATGTGTCCTAATGAGATGATGATGATGATTAGAGGAGGATCATCATAAAGGGTATGATTTATCATGTGATTTCAATAGCAACCTTTCTGATAAATACCAATGCTCCTGCTTGCTTAAAAATTCCCAGAACAGTAACAGATTTAGTGCCGTGGACTGAAATGGGCTCATGCCTTGACCAAATTTGTATCAGAACCTGTTATTCTAACCACCTTAATGCATTTTTTTATAAAAATAGCATTTTCTCTGGTCCAGTGTCAGATTATTGAAATAACTGTGTGTATAGCAATGTACACTGAGAGCAGGGTGAATATATTGGAGTTAGGATGATGCTTCAATTCGGCTATGATAAGGCAGTCCAAATGGCTTGTCCAAAAATGTGCACCAGAGCCTCATACAACAGAGGAGGGAAGAACTGTACTCACTTATTTTGATTATTCATGGACCTCACTGCCAAACTTCCATATCCAGCGCACTTTTAAGTAATATGGACACAAAATGGATTTGTGATTCATATGCTGTGTTGTCTTTACAATGAATAGTGTAAGTCTTATTAGTGTAGCTGCTCTCCAGTATGTTTAACCTATTTTGAAAAAGTGGCATTCAGATACAACTGTCTTTAGAGTGGTGAAGCCTGTGTCCTATATAGAGTTCTTGGGGACTTTAAAATAAGGGGAGAAGCTCAGAAGGATAAAATGGGAAACTGAGAGGGAATGTTCTTCTGCTGGTCTCAGATATACTAAAGTATAGCATATGGCAGCTGTCAAAAGTACCCTGTTTGTTTTCTTTATACACGTGTTTACAGAGGCTGAACATTAATATAGAGTGAGGCATATAACTGTTGGAGAACAATGGAAAATTAGTAGGTAGACTGACAGCAGTCATTTGTTAAAGTGGCAGTGAAGTATAGTGCAATCACTCACTGCACATAAAGGATGCTTAATCTAGAATGAAAATGATGCACTCATAAGGGTATGTTGTTATGTTCACCACAGGTGGGTGGAAACATACCTACTCCAAAACAGAGTTCCTTCAAGTAGAGTAGTTTGAAGGAGCTATGTTCTTGAATAAATGCTCTGTTAAATGTTAGGTATTGATGTGTATATGGCTCCTGTTAAAAGGTGGCATTTCAGATGCATCACAGCAAATGTAGAATAGGAAAAACATGCCTAATGAAGAGCTCTGTGTAAGTGCAAAAGATTGTCTCTCTCACCAACAGAAGTTGGTCCAATAAAAATATTACCTTACCCACCTTGTCACTTCTAATGTGTGACTGTTACAAAACTGGTATAGCTGTTAATAAAAAAAAAAACGAAACAAAAAAACACAGTTGAAAGCAATAAACGTTGCACTAGTTTTCAACTGGTGGAAAATCAGTGAAATTCCATTTACACTAACGGACTTATGCTGGCTTACATTAGGCGAGAATCTGGGTCTTAATTACCAAAAATTCACTAAAAACATACAGAATACACAGATTGGGATAACCACAAAGTGGCTAGTGAACTACTTTTCTAAAAGTAATTTAGAACTGACTTTTTTTTTTCTAAAGCTACAAATGTGTTCTAATAAGTTGGGTTTTGAGGTATTAAGTGAAATTAATGCTGTGAATTAAAAGGAGAAGGTGGAAAAACATTTTAAAGGCCTTTATGGTGTAAAAGATGTAGGGAAAAGAAGAAAATAGTACTGTACTATGCTTTGTAAAATTTGACCTCTAATGCAATTGACAAAGGCCATCAAACTTTCTCTCTCAAATTTCTTTGGCGATTGTGGGGTTAGCAGGTTGAATAAAGAAATCTCATTTCTACAAACTTATTGCTTTGTTTCAAATGAAATGTTTTGTGGTGGGCTTGAGCTGAGCATTTTTGTAACCTGGAATGAAGTGGGCACTTATAAAATTGCGTACAACTTTCTAAAAAGAAAAGGAGTACTTGTGGCACCTTAGAGACTAACCAATTTATTTGAGCATAAGCTTTCGTGAGCTACCGATGAAGTGAGCTGTAGCTCACAAAAGCTTATGCTCAAATAAATTGGTTAGTCTCTAAGGTGCCACAAGTACTCCTTTTTCTTTTTGCGAATACAGACTAACATGGCTGCTACTCTGAAACCATACAACTTTGTGCTATTGCTGACTAATGCACACATTATTCAATTAATTTTGTATGTGTAATATATAGTGAACAACTTGATCTGGCACGAGCAGGCATTGGTAAAAGCTTGAATTCTAAATACAGATGCGAGTAGTAGCAATTGACTTAGGTGCAGACCGGAAGCTGGACTCCATAGTGTGTGGGTGTTTTTTTTTTTTTTTTTTGTCAAGTCATATTCTTCCCATTGGATATGATGATGATTTCTTCAGGTGAACATTGGAAAGCCTGACCTAAAACAAGGATGTAAATGTGGAAAGGCATGTTAGCTAGCAAGAATTTAACTGGCCTTGCATGGGTCTCAACAGAGAGTAACATGCTGCTTATAAAAGGTCACTCTCTAGGTTTGGGGCTTTCATTCAAAAGGGTGTAATTGAAAGTCAACAATAGCTGTATCAGAAAATACTCTTTATACAGACTTTATAACATGTAGAAATCCATAACACTTAACCTCCTGGTTTCTTCACTTTTTAGAGGGACGGGGGATTCTTATAACTATATTTCAGTCTCTGGAGCAGGAACACACTCCCCCGGGGCTACTTTTCAGCCTTTTTGTTATCTCCCCTTTATACATGCATGT